ATTCCTTCCAAAAAAGAACATTCTTGTTTATGAAAGTGTTACGTGCTTTTGCACTTACCTTTTCGCAATATCATTATCTTGTAATGTATGATCCACATGAGGTATTTCTGTCATCCTCAAACAATGATGACATAGCTGACGTTTTCAGTGGAGGCTGAAATTATAAAGTATAAAATATTTTAAACAAACATATATTAGTGCTTATTTTATCATATACATGTAGTAGAAATTTACAAGTTACAATCACCTCGCAAGTAACAATCTTTTTACGCTGTCTGTCATTGTGAGGATGTAATAGTCATGTATCATATGTGCATAGATAGTCCTCACATTTAAATGAAAACGTACATGTAAATACAGTAGTTTATTTCCTCACCAGCAGATCTTATACCAGTATTTCTAGATCTTCAATCAAATCAAAACAGGAATCAATACTTAAACATCTTTATACCTTTTAAAAATAATTATTTCCAAAATAACCAAAAACAGAAATTTATTTCAGCTGATCCCAATAAAAGCATTGTCAAAAAGAAAAATGAATCTAAACATGTACAATTGATTAGTTCTTGCAGGATGAAGCTCTGTTGAATATTTTTTGAGTCACAAAGCAATCAGAGCAGATAAGACCTTGTTTTACATGTATCTCCTCCTTAGTATATTCCAGATCAATCTAAGCAGATCACAGAGACTTTTTCAGGAATCTTTGCCCAGAAAACAGCAGGAATAGTTCTGTGAATTATCTCTCGGTCTGACAATCGAATTAGAAAGCCTAATATAGAATACATCCACCTCCAAAAATACCCAACGGTTGTTGATTTTGGTATGCTTTTTGCATGATCAAGAAATTTGAAAGTCAAAATATGGCGAAGTTTTATCAAGGTTTGAAACAACTGTTCCCTGTGTAGAATGGTACTTGCTCTGGAGTATTTCATAAATGTTAGCAGAAAAATGAAAAGATGAAGGAATACTCCCCATGAAACTCCAATTATCATTTTACATGCCTCGTCGTTTCCCTCCACAGAATTAGAATTAAGTGTACTTGCATTTACAACCCTCTCAAGACAGGCTACTCTCGCCAATGCTTCATCCCTCTCCTGCCATAAGTATGCCATTTCATCGTAAAGCTTTTCTCTTTCCGACTTCTCTAACGGTTGACTCATTGGAAGGGCATCTGTTTGAATAGACACACTCTTTGAATTTTCATCACAAGATTCATCACAATTCACTTTGCATGAGGGTTTGCCAGTGTCTTCATGTTGGTTTTTAACATATGAATGTGTACTCGATCTTCTATGATATTCAGTCGACTGCTGGTCGCTTCTTTCTGGCAGTGACTTTGTGTCCTCCAGACTCTGAAAAGTGTTTTAGAACATTTTAATTTACTAAAAAAAATGTTATATTATGTAAAGTAAAGGTGAACATTTTTATTGAAAAGAATTAAAAAATAATTATGACATTTTTCCATGCTACATTTATGTGAACAAAAAGATTTCAACCAACCTGTTTCTGCAGTGTGTCGCTTCAAGGCATGCTTGTACCTTTGAACTTTCTTTGAGGATTTGCTGAATGCAGAGTTTACATTTTGAGGATCTATATAGCCCCGACCTAGCACCAGAACCCCTGACCCTGGGGCCATGAATTTCACAATTTTAGTAGAGGGCTCAATGCTTATTACAATCATGCCAACAGTTTGACTGCTTGATGTCCAGGAGTTAAGAGAAAGATTTTTAAAGATTGCATTAATTTTGGTCGTTTTAGCCCCACCCTTCAGGTCCCAGGGGGGAGGGACCATGAAATTCACAATTTATGTTTCCCTTCACCCATAGATGCTATATGCCAAATTTGGTTGAAATTGGTTAAGCGCTTTCAGAGAAGAAGCTAAAAATGTTCAAATGTTAACGCACGACGCACGCCGACGGACGAAAACGGATAGCAATAGGTCACCTGAGTGACTCAGGTGACCTAAAAATAACATTTTACTGATCAGTTAATCAGTTCGTTTTCATGTTGCAAAACTACTAGTATTTAATGTCGATCTCAGATGTTTAGATAGAAAAAAACATGTATATGTATGTCGGCATAAAAGTGTACTACTAATCTTATTGAATAGCAAATAATGAAGTTTTCCTCTTGTATATAGTAATGTCTCATATTTAAGACATGATGTATATGTATATTGTGTGCATTTCTAACATGTTTAAATGCATGACACACTTAAAAAATATTTGAACTTGAACTTGCTCCAATCTTGGCCCCTGGTACATGTAGGTAGGGTGAATAGAGGAAAGTTTGACAATCATGGGAATTTATGCGTATTAACTCCAGGGTCAAATACCAACAAGGAATAACACTTTTACATAAGAATTTCATATTTAAAAAAAAAATTTAAAAATCATCACAAGAACTGTTACGCAATTAAATTGGTTTATGATATTGATGATATGAAAAGCTTTCTTGGGTATTGCAGATTCAAGTTTATTCAATTCATGGCCATTGCCCCAGGCAAAGAAATGACCGCCACAACATGGTGTCAAACAGGTACCTAAGAATGAGAAAAGAACTCTTTAAGGTAGTCACTACTTGAGTGATGTCATTCATGATGGAAGACATGGTACTTTTTAGCTCACTTGAGCTAAAAGCTCAAGTGAGCTTTTCTGATCACATGTTATCCATCGTCCCACCGTCTTGCTTTCCGTCCGTCCGTCTGTAAACTTTTCACATTTTCAACTTCTTTTCAACAACCACTGGGTCAATTTTAACCAATGCTCGTACGAAGTATTCTTGCCAAAGGAGAGTTCAAATTGTTAAAATAAATGAAGGACCAAGCCCCCTTTCCAAGAAGAGATAATCGAGAAAAGACAAAAATAGGGTTGGGTCGTTAAAAAATCTTCTTCTCAAGAATCACTGGGACAGAAAAGCTAAAACTTATGTGGAAGCATCCTTGGGTAGTGTAGAGGTTAAGTTGATCAAATCATGGACCCTAAGAAGGATGGGGCCACAAAAGGTAATCAATGTTTATCATTGAAATATTTAGAAAAAGATCTTTAAAAATTTTCTTCTCAAGACCACTGAACCAGAAAAGCTGAAACATATGTGAAAGCATCCTTGGGTAGTGTAGATTGTTCAAATAATGACCGAATGCCCCCCGGGGGTAGGGTGGGGCCATAGTAAGGAATCAATGTTTTACATTGAAATATATAGAAACAATCTCTAAAAAAAATTTCTTCTGAAGAACTACTGGGCCAGAAAAGCTGAAACTTACGTAGAAGCATATAAGGGTATTCTAACTTGTTCAAATCATGACTGAAAATGGCTTCAGAATATTTTTTTAAGACTTAATGCATCTGGGTTTGATTGGCTGAAAAATTAGTATATATTGTATAATCTGTGTAACGCCTAAGTCACAACCATGACTTCTGTAACGCCCAAGTCACAACCATGACTTGCATCATAAAGTATCAATTCGCTTGACGTTACATTTAAATTTTGTACAATTTAATGTCATATTTGAGGTGAAATTGTCTTTTTTCTATTCTCAATGGTAGACAAATTAAATTATAAGTATGTTTTGGGTAGGTATTAAATTCATATTCCTTAAATAAACCAGGCCCTCAAGAAGGGTTATAAAAAATTTGCATTAGAATCTAGAGGAATTTTTCCCCTCAAAAATATGGTTATTTATATTAAACGAAAGTATTTAGAAGTAGCAATAACTCATTTAAAAAAAATCGTCAGCTACAGATAGCTAAGGTAATGAACCACAATTTTGGTCAAAAAATCTCATAATATAGAGAAAAAGTCTTCTCAAGAATACAGCAATGCATAGATAGCCCTCACATTTAAATGGAAAACGAACATGTAAATACTGTAGTTAATTTCCTCACCAGCAGATCTTTTACCAGTATTTCTAGATCTTCAATCAAATCAAAACAGGAATCAATACTTAAACATCTTTATACCTTTTAAAAATAATTATTTCCAAAATAACCAAAACATAAATTTATTCCAGCTGATCCCAATGAAAGCATTGTCAAAAGAAAAATGAATCTGTACATGAACAATTGATTAGTTCTTGCAGGATGAAGCTCCGTTGAATATTTTTGAGTCGCAAAGCAACCAGAACAGACAAGACGTTGTTTTGCATGTATCTCCTCCTTTAATAGTATGTTCCATATCAATATAAGCAGATCACAGAGACCTAATCAGGAAACTTTGCCTTGAAAACAGCAGGAATAGTTCTGTGAATTATATCTCGGCCTGAGATAAAAATTCGAAGGGATCTATATATGGCTACATTCTACTCTTTGTGAGAATGCTTACAGTGGGAATGTTTCTCTCAAAAACCGACTGATAGAAATGTCCATGCTAGCACTGATTTAGAGTCTAAAGCAAGGATTATGGAATCCTTTCGCAAGCCAGGAGGTACTGTCAGGGTGTTGATTGCGACGATCCCCTGTGTAATGGGCATGGACATTCCAGATATTGCCATGTGTGTGCTGTGGGGTCTTCCACCGTCCATGATGCAGATGTGGCAAGAAATTGGTAGATGTGGACGCGATGGCAGAGATAGCCTTGCAGTATGTTATGCTTTTCCACCAAGCATTTCCTTACCCTGCTAGAGGTGCCGGAAAAACAACCACCACAAATGTTCCTGTGAGGCAAAGCAGCATTTGTGGGACTTGGCAACCACCCAGGAATGTTATCGGACACACTGCTTGGGACCCTTTAAGTTAGGAAACATTGATTTAATCAGTGATGCAAACAGGAACACGTGTACTTCTTCTGAAAATGTGCGTTGTTGTTACTTGTGCAAATGTTGCACAAACTGCTCAGGGAAATGTTTATGCCCCAGTAAAGTAACAAAACAAGATATTGTGACAGAATCCTTTCTTCTGTAATAAAGTAGTATCCTTTTAAAGCATTGTTGATTATTAGTAGAGCCTACTATGTAAGTGTTGTCTTAGCCAAAAAATTATCATATATACCAGCTCTTACCTCAATAGTGCATCATCTGCAGTCGTCTGTTGTTCGCCATTTTCTTTCGAAAACTTTGGATTCTGTCCTTCATACCCTTGGGATGAGAGACAGAAAAAGTTCCTGGAAATTAATCGAAACCTTTAAATGACCTTCCTTTTTCCTCCTTAAAAAGAGAGATAGGTGCCAGCAACTCTACCAACTTTAGAATGTCTCCCGAGTCATCAGGGCTTGAGCTCCTTCCGGTGTAGGAGTGTACTGATGAGCAAACTATTGCATCCTGATACTTCCTGGAGAGAACTTTTCCTATAATTATAAATAATAGTATTTCCCGATTCCCCATTTTTATGCTGTAATACTGTGCATGTTCATTGACATTGCTTCAAAAAAAGTTATAAAAAATAATTTATTCAATTATTTTGTGAAAAGATAAAGTTTGAAATGTTCGAAACCTATTCCAAGCATTTGACTATGTGTTGCAATTTTGGCGTCGGTAAGCTGACCCCCAGCATCTCTGCTATTTTCTTTGTACTCTTTGTTGAGGAACTCATTGTGCAAGTCTTTGGGCATGTTGTTTCCGCCTCTGATATTGACTGTTTGGTTCCAGATGAGCTGGTGTCGAAGCCTCTCTGAATTTCACCCGCAACATTGGAAAGCAGTCGATGGGCAAATACAAAATATTTTGGATGATGTTTCTCATAGAATTCCATGAAATCAAACTTCCAATGCCGGATCACCCTCAGCCCATCATTTTCTGATACAGCATCAGCCCTTGCAAGATCATTCAGTCCTCTCCAGAGAAGTCTGTGAGCATATTCCTTCTTCAGATCTCTGAATCTTTCTGAAATAGCACTCTTGTTCTTTCTCGAATTCTTTAATTTCCTACACTCCTCAGAACAAAACCAGTCACCTGTGCATAAGGTAAATCAGTACCTCTACTTGTATCTACCAACATTACATACTTTTAAAACAATACAACAAATACAAAACTCAATTTAGTAAATATGAATCATGAAATACTTAATCTGTTGGTGTAAGAGAGTGTATATGTTGACAATAACCCTACTGATTAAGCAAGTAAATACATAGTGTAACTGAACTTAAATGATGAAATAACTCACCTTCAGGGACATCTTCTTCTGACATACCAAGACAGTCAATGTGAAACCATTGCCCTTTTCTACACTTTGTATAAGAACAAAATAGCATCATCCCTCCTATGTCCATTTTGCAAGAGCAGTATTGAAAGCCCTCTTGTGCTGGTTCACTATCAAGTAATTCCTTTGTGTTCGGTTTCTCATAAACCATGTTGACAATGTCAGATGACAATGACAGCAGGAAATTTCGTCGTTCACTTGCAGTACATGGAAGTGTTTCAGGGGTCGCATCAACTGAGTGAACACCCAGGAGGTCCATTGCTGCAACAACTGTAAATCCTTTGGTGGCAAAGTGGAGGAGGAGCTCAGTGGCTTTACTAAAACATTCCATGATGTTGCCTGACACTCCTTATGGTCAAAGTACTGTTTGATGTTGTACAATGTTCCCTTCTCACGATGACTCTCAAACTTGATCAATTCATCATATGTGTCCTAAATATGCGGAATTATTATCAATGTAAATGGAACTCAATTACCGAAATCTAGCACCCAATATACAATGCTTTTGACATAAATGCATGTCGTCATAAGATACTAATGTCTTAAAAATAAATTCAATTAAAATAAATGATCAAATATAAATGAATCATAACATTTACTAGAATTACCTGCATGAACATTAATCTCCTATGCCATTCTTGAATGGCTGGTTCAATCATCTCCAGTCTGGCCCATTGATTACCTCCATTTGTGCTCATCAGCACGTTCACAGCTCAAGCCATCACAGTACAGGACAAATGGTAGAGGTCTTCTGTTTTTATCTTGTGGGGCATATTGACCATAATTATCAAGTATCTGTATCATTTCAGCTGTTTTGGTCTCGTCAAACTGGAGAATCATAAGTGGAACCTAAAAATAATTCAAATTGAAAAGATCATTATTTTTTATTTTGTCATTGCACTGTTCTGCAAATTTAGTGAAAGCACCTTCCTGTATAAATTCTATGAGTTCAAACTTACAGTTTCACTTTTAACACTTGATTCTTTCATGTAAAGATGAAGGATTTTCCACTGACTAGAATCATTAAATTCTGCAAAACAAGCCATGTGAGCAGCAAGAATTCTGGCCACCATGTATGAAAGTTCTAGCTTCATGTCCTTCTCATCACTCTCGCTAGGAAGATAGGCTCTGTCAGGAATGTTCATGATGTCATCAGCTGTAGGAGTCTTGTTACCGAGTCCATATACGGGTATTCTATCCCTAGTTACAAATGCCTGTACCATGTTAATCATTTTGTTCTATTTCCCTCGTACATGATGTCTTACTCCTACCTTCTGGTTCACATTGTCAAAGGTAATGTCAAAGAAGAATGACTATGTGACACTTGGTGTAGGAATTATTAAACTGGTATCTGAAATGATAACAAATTTGTCAGGATGAGAAACAATTTTTTGCACATGGAAACCATATAAGAAGCATGCTGTTCCAAACAGGTGATAACATTTACATAAATATTTTTTTTCCTTTGCTCTCATCACTGTATGTATTAGTCAGATATCTATTGCTCAGTGATTCTTCCATATCAGACAGTGATTCTGTGCTTTCAGATGTGACAGTACTGTCATATGAAAGGGAATCTATTTCTGTCAAGTCATTATCATTATCCTCATCATCATCCTCGATTTCGTGTGGTACATCAATCTCAGGTGTGCCAACAGGTTGATTAACACATACAGCTGGAACTTGCTGATCTGCATAATAAAATATTTTTGTTAAAAAATGTTTTATATCAAAATATTATCATAAATACTTGAAATTCATTATTGTAAAGATTCCAGTTAAATTTTAATTTTACCATTACACACCTATCTGTAAAGAAGTAATCCTATCCCTCCAGTCAAGGACTTTGTCATACTCCTGTCTGAAGGTATCTATGGAATCCCGTGTGGCTGAAATCCCAAGGCACCATCCTAGTTTGCTAAATGCATCAAACACCTGGAAAATACACATAGTTTCTAAAATACATCTTGTAATATCTTACAGACTTTGAGGCCATGCATGCTTAAAATTGTATATATTCAGTTCAAAAGAGTCATATTTTCTCAAGTTCAAATTTATACTGGGACTATCCTTTTTTAATAAAGGAAAAGAAGCAATACATTGTATCTGTACAGCAGAAACCTTATCTGTGCTGTTATACGATAATCATGTTTAATTTGATCAGGTTTGGGATTCCATTATTGTACACTGATATATAAAATTACCTCCTTTGACTGAAGATTCATTAGTCCGTGCAGTTTTAGCGCCATTGGTTTGTCGGGGTAGCCAAGTCACAAATGTAAGTTTAACACTTATTGTTTTTTATAAACTGGTCCTAGAATTTATTTTAATTGTAACTTTTTTGAAGGCTTACTGCCATGTATATTAGCATATGGACATTTATTATTTATTTTGTAAACTTTGTAATTTAGTCTGTAAGTTTGTAAATTTATTTTGCTTGGCTAGACAATTGTATTATTGCTATTATCTTATTTACTAGTGTTTAAATGAACTTGATATATTTTTGAGCTGTGTAACATTGTATTTATGTAAGTTACTGTTATTTTGTAGCTTCTTACCATCATCATCATCAACATCATCGTTTTTATCGTACATCATACGTCATTATGCTGCATACTCGTACACACATGCGTATCATCATGGTCCCGAGATGTAAATAAAGTTTTGAACAGTGTTTTGGTGTATTGATTGATGGTTAACTATGCAAAGGGCAAAATATTATCAATACGAATCCAGACCTGCCTACCCTTCCGCTTTTGGCGTAATTCTTCCGCTTTTTACCAAGAAATTACGCTGTTACGCCATGAAATTTAATTTTACGCTTTTAAATATTTTTCATAGACAACTTAATGAATTGCTAACTTGGGAGTTAAGTAAAGGCTCTCCTAAATAAAAACGAGAATATAATTAATACTAATTAATAGAGGGTTTCAGTTCTTCACGATATGTTTATTTAACATACAAACAACAAACCTAATATACTTTGTAGTTATGCCTTTTAAACGAGTGGCATGCCAAAATTAAGAAAAACAACTCTTGAATAAAAGTTTATAAAAGTAAAGTCAGTTTAATTTTAAATTCAGTTTATTCTTACATTGCTTAGAACAACATAGAGAAAAGTAAATGTAAGGAAAACAAAAACGAAATAGCGCAATAATGAAGAATTTGTATTAACATGCAAATGAAACTTTGAATTATGTGATTTTCTATAAGTTTTCCAAAAGTTCATTAGGCATGTAAGTTAAATATGTTTGATATAACTGCATTTAGGATACCAGTTATACAACACGTGGACTTTGTGTCAATAATTGATTTGAAAACGGAACATTCATGCTTACTTTGTTCAATTACGTGCAATTACAGGTTTATTTAGACATTATAGTATCATTGCAAAACATCAAACTAGGGAAACATAAAGGATTATGTCTTTGCCTCTGAAATTCCGCCAAAATGAGTATCGAAATTACACCCTCGTAATGAAAAGGGAAGGCAGGTCTGCAAATCTTTTTTCAAGCTATATGGAGTTATGATATAAAATTATGGTGAAAAAGCTCAAGGACTTTTTTAGATTTTGTGTGGAAACAAAAATGTTACACAAAGATAAATGGACGGACATACAGACCCAATTAATATCCCCGACTTTCAACACAAGCAGGGGAAAATAAAAAAAATCTGTACTTAATACACTTAGAAACAGCCTACCTTCCTCTTACAACCACCTAGCCACATGACCAGTGAATTCATTTTCTGAATCACAGCACCTATGCCTGTTCTATTATGAAAGCTCAGTATGGTTCCTGCGAGTGGGACAAGGGATACAGTTGTGGATCCTCGCTTTTTCGACACACTGCTATGCTTTCTAGTTAGCGATGAGATGATGATATCCATAAGTGATGGGCAAAGTTTCTTCATTTAATCTATGTACTGTGTCCAGGAAAATTCCTTCACATTCTGAGAGTAAATATCATAAATAATGTAATATATTAAATGACTATCATATTCAGTTTACTTCAACAGTATTAGTACTCTTTCAATTGCACTCTCCTACAAATTAAAGATACCAATTTAGCCGAGCAAAAAATGTGTGTGTGTGGTTATCCAATCGGTCCTTATTTTATGCCTTAATCAAAATATTTTCCTTTTTTCATTGTAAAATTGGGAAATCGTATACCTGTACATTTTTCTTCAACCATGAAATTTATAGGTCACTTTTTAGTGGCCATTTTTAAAACTGTCAGGTAGATTGTAAAAAAAAAGATATGGTATGGCTAGAAGAGAGAACAACAAGCTATCTTTTATTGACTTTTAAAAAAAAATCATATTTCAAACTTATGCCTTGGGTAAGGAAAATAATAAATAAAATAAATTGCAAACAGATTTTCTACCATCAATTTTGGAATAAAAGATGTCAAGAATAATTGTTAGTTTACATTGATCTTTTTTTTAAATCATTAGTTACAGCCTACCTCTAATGAAATTGGCTGGGATATACACAGTTCCTTTGAGCATGTCATCACCTCATTCCGTACTGTGTCACATAACAGAGACAATGCAGCTTTTCTCGCAGCTCTACTATGCTTGAATAAACTCCTGAATCCACTCCTGTACTTTCCTTTTGACAGAGAAACTACTGCTCTTCCAATAGGGGTGTTGTTAACTGTTACTGGAATCTGCTTGTGACCAAAATAAAAAAATATTTTACCGATAGTATTTATTACAAAGTACATTATATGCTTTTCCTATGATTTTTTTTTTCAATATAATGTACACATGTATTCAATATGCATATGTAAAGGTCTGGAGGAATTTCATGGCTGAAATACATTTCCGTTTACCAGTTACTCTCAATTTTGTATCTGTCTTTTTTTCACATATGTGTTACTTATAACTAATAAATTTACCGTCTCTGCAGAAGATTTATGGGAAATCTGTGGTGAAAAAAGCACCCTGTAAAAGCACGCCCAAGTCACAACCATGATTTCTGTAACGCCTAAGGCCAAATAAAAAAATATGTGTGGTTCCGGTTACCCGACCGTCCCTATTTTTTACCCCCGACCCTAAACTTTTTTTTTTTTTTTTTTTTTTAATGCAATTTTCATATTTTTTTCCGGAATTTTCCCCAATTTCCATCAATGGCTCCGGTTTAAGTTTTAGTTTCAGCAATGACGGCCTCCTTGCACCACATAGTGCAAGTGTTTAATAGTGTTAAATCCAAAGCAAGCTAGCATGTAGGTGTCCCCTACCAATAT